AAGAGGGCACTAGGTCTCATAACGAATGGTTGTGAGCCACCATGTGATTGCTAGATTGCTAGGAATTGAACTCAGGACCTCTGGAAGAGCAGCCAGTGCTCTTAACCTCTGAGCCATCTCTCCAGCCCCCTGGGGGGAGGGTATCTGGATTTTAAAGGGGTCCTTTGCAGAGTAGGCAGTCATGGGACCCTGGACTGACCAGGGTACTGCCTGAGTGCATTTTGCCAGGTAACAGGCAGGCCAGCACAGTGCCTGAATCCTTACAAGTTCCTTTACCAACTGAGCCATCTACTAGGCCCTGGTCTTTGTAGCTTTTTTGAGTCATGTGAGCCTCTCCCCTCCCTCCAGCAATCAGGAAAAAAACTGCAGAACTGATCCTAGATATAAGGAAGTTTTATTTCCCTGGGTCTGGGAACCACCTCCTCATGTTTTGGGGAAGCATCAGTTGAGAGGTCATAACGGTTTGCATCCTGAGGAGGGCCCTGGCATCTGGTCCCAGTTCCCAGTCTCTAGGACAAGGAAATAGAAGCTGTGGTTTGTCAGTGGAAAAAAAAAAAAAAAGATGGTAGCCCTTCTACCCCCATCCTAGGTCTGGCTCACAGGACATAAGGAGGCAGAGAGGCCTGCCCTGAGGTCCATCCTGCATGACTGGCCTGGAAATCAGATATTTCGGTGGCTGGAGCTGGGCCACAGAACAGGGGGAGTGGAGGGAGCTGAATTTTCCTGAACTTGAGGAACCTGTTGGCTGAGTCCCTATAGGAAGTGATAGGCTCGATAATAGGATAGAGGAAACTGGGCTGTCTCTGCTTTATTTTCCCGTGTCTGAAGGAGGATTAGGGGCAGGCTGAGAAAACTTGAAAGGAGGTAAAAAAAAAAAAAAAAAAAGCTTGACATTCCAGATCAGAGATCTCCGGGGAGAGGAGTGAGTTGAAGGACGAGGTCCAGCGAGTGGTCTGCTTAGATGAGGTCCAGCGAGTGGTCTGCTTAGCTGTGGGAGCTGGAATGGACGTTGGAAATTTGGATGTGTAGGGGCTGCCAATGTCTAGGTTGCTCTTACATCAAAGAAATCTTTTTGCTGGGTGTTGGTGGCGCTCGCCTTTAGTTCCAGCACTGGGGAGGCAGAGGCAGGCGGATCTCTGTGAGTTCGAGGCCAGCCTGGTCTACAGAGTGAGTTCCAGGACAGCCAGGGCTGTAACACAGAGAAACCCTTTGTTAAACTCAAAAAAAAAAAGGGGGGGGAGAACCCCGTAGGCCTAGAGTATGAGGAAGTTGGAGCCTTGGCTGTGGAGAAACAGCGATGACTGAGTTGCTGTGGGGTAAAAGGGGGAACTTTTTGTTCATAGGGCCTGGGGTATAAAGCCCTAGGTCACACAGGAAGTGATATAACAGGCAGGATCTTAGACCATGATCTTTTTGTTGCTGGGTCTTTTTCCTCCCTCCCTCCCCCTTTCTCTTTGAGACAGGGTCTCTCTAGTTTTGGAGCCTCTCCTGGAACTCTGTAGACCAGGCTGGCCTCAAACTCACAGAGATCCACCTGCCTCTGCCTCCTCAGTGCTGGGATTAAAGGCGTGCACCGCCACCACCAACTGGCTAACAAATTCCATATTCTGAGGCATACCCTTTTCAGAATTCAAGGTAATTTGTTCCAAGACAGATGAGGGCCTGAGTATGAGACCTTATCAAAATGCTTTTGTTTTTCTCAGCCATGCCGGTGTCAGTAACCCGCACAACCATCACTACGACAACGACATCATCGTCATCCACCATCGTGGGGTCCCCTCGGGCACTGACCCAGCCCCTGGGCCTCCTCCGCCTCCTGCAGCTAATATCCACCTGTGTGGCTTTCTCGATGGTGGCCAGTGTGAATGCTTGGACTGGGCCCATGGGGAACTGGGCCATGTTCACCTGGTGTTTCTGCTTTGCTGTGACCCTCGTCATCCTGATTGTGGAATTAGGCGGGCTCCAGGCCCGCTTTCCCTTGTCATGGCGAAACTTCCCCATCACCTTCGCCTGCTACGCGGCTCTCTTCTGCCTGTCATCTTCCATCATCTACCCCACCACCTACGTGCAGTTCATGGCTCACGGACGCAGCCGGGACTACGCCATCGTCGCCACCACCTTCTCCTGCGTCGCTTGTTTGGCCTATGCTACCGAGGTGGCCTGGACTCGCGCAAGGCCTGGTGAGATCACCGGCTACATGGCCACCGTGCCGGGGCTGCTCAAAGTGTTTGAGACCTTTGTAGCCTGTATCATCTTTGCCTTCATCAGCGAACCGTTCCTGTACCAGCACAAGCCGGCGCTGGAGTGGTGTGTGGCCGTCTATGCCATCTGCTTCATCATGGTGGCAGTGACCATCCTGCTCAACCTGGGAGACTGTACCAACATGTTGCCCATCCCGTTCCCCACCTTCCTGTCGGGCCTGGCCTTAGTCTCTGTCCTCTTGTATGCCACTGCCATTGTCCTCTGGCCCCTCTACCAATTCGACCAGAGGTACAACGGC